ACACTGATGGCGGAGGAGCAATTCTTCACCAGTGCCATTTCCTTGGCGCTTCCGTGGCTCCAGAAGCTCGCACTGAATATAACGTTCCCTCCACAGAAAACATCCAAGTCCAGCATTGATGCCATTCACATCGATGGTTTTTCGCTGGGGGGCGCCTCCTTCACGATGACGAGTCCCAATCAACTCAATTTATTGCTGCAGAACTTGAGCATTACCGTCCGTGAAACCCCGTTTTCCGTCAATACTTTGTTGTCTGAGTGTGAGGGCATGATATGGGCTTTTGTTGATGCAACTAACGCGACGCTTTCAGTGAATGTCTCCCGCCTGTCGAACGGCACACTTCGATTGAAGACCGCGGCAATCACTATTGAATGGAGTACGGTGGAGGTCGGACACATTTTTTTCAGCCCTCTATGCAAGTTGCTCGGAGAAGGTACGTTCGTGACGAGCATCATTAGCAAGAAGGTTAAAAAGGCGTTGAATGAGATGCCCTACAAGATGGGGACTCTCATCGAAGAGAAGGCGAATGATTTCTTCGACTCTTTTTTTGTCACTCTTGTGGAGGATCCGGACATTACGGAGGACAGGGCAATACTTGCCATGAATACCATTTATAATTCAAAGGTCCAGAAGGTGCCCTCATCGGTGGTGGATCCGATTTTTTATCCGTCTTCGACGCCAGTGGTGCCGCAGCGAAATCTGGCAGCTGTCTTCACTGGACTCGCCTTAAACGACCTTCTCATTTGGCTTAGCCGGGGAGGCTGGTTGAATCGAAGCATACAACTTCCGTCTGAGTACAATTCATCCCTTGTTGAGCAAGTGTATCCAGATGTGTATAAATTGTGTTCCGATTGCCCCTTTGTCTTTTCAATCCACCCAACGGTGCCTCCATCTGTTTTTCTACAGTCTGGCCAAACTGTCATTCTCCAAGTGCTGAATGGCTTTTTGGGGTTAGCGATGACCTCTCCATCAGGAGATTCCATTGCTGTGCTGGATACGTTGGTGAACCTCACGGGTGGCGTGACGGGTGTCGGCATCACCTCGGAAGCGTATCTTCATCTGAGCCTCACGGAGGTGGACCTGGCAATTGAGGTGGTGCAGACACGTATTGCCCCTCTCGATGCCACTGTCTTGAGTCAGGCCCTTCGTCGGATGCTCAACGAATTCCTGATACCCATGCTTAACGCTAAGTTTCGCAGGATTTCGTTGCCATCATATATCATGAGGCCAGTGGCCAACATATCAACTGAATTTATCACGGTTGGGTTTGACGTTGGGCAGTAATGTGGGCGTGCTCCTCTCTGAGACCGAGGTTCTTTGAACGTTTGCCTGCCGCCGTTTTTTTTTTTTTCATCTGCCCTTAATTTTTTTTTTTGTGTTTTTGTATTTATTTGTTGTTCGCTTCTGTCGTGTGTGACTTCCGCATCCTGCTCCATCGTTCCTTGCGCATGCACCACCCCCCGCATTTGTAGTAATGTTTTTTATTGTGTGTTTTGTTTTGTTTTGTCTCACAATCACAATGCATGCATGACATGTTGTGTGAGGTGAGCTGCGGGGGAGGGGCTTGCAAAAAAAAAAAAAAACGGGGCCGAATGCACGAGAGAGAGCGAGAGGGATAATAGAAAAGGACGAACATACGAATAGTAATAATAAAGAGATTTGTTGGGGTACGTGTTTTTCGGCACTGGCTCGGTGAATGCGTTCTTTGGCGTGAAATGCGGCAGCACAGCTATACCTGCACACACTGCCGCATTTTCTTTTTAATCCGTGTTCTGCAGTCTGTTGATTGCCATTCTTTCTACGACCGCTGCTGTCGCTCACTCGTGCTTCTCTCCTTCCTCACCTCCTCTTCTTTTCCTGCTTTTTAGTAGAGGCGTAGGAAGGTCGTTTATCT